CTACTTGGCGTGGAAGGCAAGCTAGGCAATATGGATATGTATATCTCCTCCTTTGTAACCGACCTTGTGTAACCCTAACCCTCTCCGGTGTCTATATAAACCAGAGGGTTTTAGTCCGTAGGACAACATACAATCATACCATAGGCTAGCTTCTAGGGTTTAGCCTCTCTGATCTCGTGGTAGATCAACTCTTGTAATACCCATATCATCAAGAATAAATCAAGCAGGACGTAGGGTTTTACCTCCATCAAGAGGGCCCGAACCTGGGTAAAACATCGTGTTCCCTGCCTCCTGTTACCATCCGCCTTAGACGCACAGTTCGGGACCCCCTACCCGAGATCCGCCGGTTTTGACACCGACAGGGGGCATTGCCCCTCAGCCATAGAAAGAAGAGAGAAAAATGGAGGGCTTATATAGGAGTTTCTAAAATTGTTTGGCCCCCTCGTATCGGCATATTTTACTATTTGCCCCCAGTAAAGTTTCTCTCTGGCTCTTCTAATGACAATATATATAATTGAAAAATAACATAAACAACCAAAATATCAACTCACTTATAGTTGTTACATTTAAACTAAAGAGAGAAGACAAACTAGTTGAATGCAGTCCTCACACCACTTGTTTATATATTCCAAGTGAAGTTGTAAAAATCACTTTTTAGATTTATGGGTGACATCGTTATCCTTGGAAAGATTGAACAAATTGGCATGTTGATTTTACAAGTTTTAAACAAGTATATTAAGGAGGGAGGAGATTTGTGGCACACGACGGCCGCGCAGGAAATTTGTGGACCGTTGACCTGCGCCATGATTCACAAACATGGTCGGGTATAGCAGGTGGTTTTCATGGTATAGGCCTCGCCAAAACTCTGTAATGGGTTCATAAATGGGAAAAGTGATATACCTGTACAAGTGGGGTAACATTCTTTGATACATTTATTGTATAAACAGTTGACGTAGATGTTATGTACTGAATATGTGCGTGTGGAAACATGATTCATTTTGTCCTTCTTCCTGGTGTTCTTCTCTCTAGTTGTTTGTTCTTTTACTCGCTTGTTATGTCCCTAGAACTCTTGTCTCGAACTACCAATGGTGCAGAAGAAAAAAGGACAAAACCAATGCGGTTGATTTCAAGATTGTGAAAGATTGATAGATACTAATGATTTTAACAAGAGGAGCATGTGTATAGCGGTACTTTTTGCTGAAAAGCTTAATTATTCTTGCATATTTGATCTGCATGAAGTTTCATCTTGTTACATGTGTTGAATCTGTTTGTTACAAGAGATCATGATACTTAATGTTACAAAGGAAATGAAAAAGAAGCGACTAGTATATCTGTTGAATCCGAAAAGGTAGACTTATTGAATATATCTTGTAATAGGGACTGAAACTTATTGTTCTGTCCAATATTGCAATCAAATTTAAAATGACACATGTAGTAAAAGTTATTGTTTGGATCTATAGAGAATAAACTTAGAGTATTGTGAATGTATTGGTGACTTCACTTGTGTGACATAATGAAAATAGGATTTTAGTTTATCTATTCACTATAGTTGATTCTGAAATGTTTTATGTGTGAACTAACTAATAAAAATGTATTGAACAGAATGAACTTGTATATCATACGCGTATCACATGTATGATTTTATAATTTTATCACACACATATACAATTTTATGATTGTATAATAGTATCACATGTATGATTTTACAAATTATACAATTTTTTATCACACGTATTATGATAAAAACTAGTTGATTTTATAATTGTAAGTTTTGGTATATAAAACTTGTACGTTACAAATGAAAAAGCAGCAAGGTTGATCTCCTTAGACTTGTTTTTAATGGCAAACTTGTTTAACATGCATTATATGAAAGTTTTTTAGATTGTTATGATGCAAATAAAATTGAACCACTAGTTATGTGTATGTAAAAATAATTGTCTTAAGTTATGTGGGTGTTTTTAATGGCTTAAGACAATTAATCTTATGCGAGTGTTTTTAGTGACTTCACTTGTATGAGTTAATGAATATATGATATTGCTTTATTTATTGATTATAGTTGATAAGTATGAAATGGTTTATGTGTTAATTAAGTGAAAAGAATGTATGAATTGTAGATTCTTATACTGATTATATAATTATAAGTTTCACGGTGTATTCGGGTAAGTTTAGTTGTTAAGTTTTATTTATTGATTAGGTTTGATTTAAGGGACATAGAGTTATACATTTAGCGATGTCTTTTGTATCTCGGGTACCTTCGATCCCTACCAAGCACTGTTCACCCCGACCTTAGGTACTGGTGATTTACTATACAAAATGACTATTTTACGCAATTATGGAAACCACCGGGCAAGACTCAAGACTCGTCGACCATTGACGGCTTCATTCGACACCTTTGCATCCAGGCTACGGTTCTCAAGGAGGGGAGCCATGGTCATGAGGATTGATGGACACTTTCCTTCTTTGTGCGGTGTGTGTTTGGATTGTTGAGACAAGGGCCGTTTTGGGTTTGCATCGCGTGTGTGTGGGCTGTTGAGCAGTTGGCCCTAGCGAGGGTCTATATTTTCGGTGTGTGTGGCACCGAGCGTCTTGGACCTCCTTTCCCTGTTTGTTTTCGCTATCTGCGTGAACATTTGAACCTTGTAAGCCATAAGGGTTTGAGTTGGCTAAAGTCGGGCAAGTGCCTAGGTTTTCAAAAGGAAAAAGGACGCGTCTAGCGGGTGGCCAGTTGCCCGCTAGCGCTCCGCAGTGGCCGGCTAAAAAAGGAAATAATCTGTCCCCCTAATCCATATTAGGAAAAGTGAATATGTGTGAACATGTTTGAACAGGATAATAAAAAGTAATTGCAAAGAACCCATGTGAACAGATGTGAAAACCTTTAATTCGGGTTTTCAAATTTTTCAAAAACCATAACTTTGAAACCACGCATCAAAATTAAGATATGTTTTCACTTTTGGAACTCTCGCGGCGTGCTCTTCGAAACTAGATCCCGCATGGGTATGTTTTGACGAATTTTTTTATGCAATTTTCTCCCCGTTTTGTGCAACTGCCTAGCCTTTGGTGTGCAACTACATGACAAGGATGTGCAACTTTTCTCCTATACCGTAAACACGCAGTTTTAAATGATGGTATCTTCACCCCCAAACTACCTCCACCAATGAGATGTGAACTTCTTCTGTTGCCCAGACCAACTGCATAGTAGTTGATGTGCAACTTTTCCCTGTCCGTGGATGTGCTTCACTGTTTGCTGCATCGGCCAACTGCCTAACAGTGGATGTGCAACTTTAGATACTGCCACAGCCAACCGTCTAACAATGATTTGCAATTTTCTCTCGAATCCCCATGAATGTGTAGTTTCCCTGCTAGCACATGGCCCAAACCACCCCTGCTAGTGAGATTTACAACTTTAGCACTCTGTTTATATGCAACTTTTCAATACCCTCATGAATGTCATTTCTTTACCATTCAACTGCCCCTACCTGTGAGATGTGCAACTTCGTATGTTGTCCTGGCCAACTACCTAGTAGACTATATGCAACTCTGTCTATTGCCTCCGCCAACTGAAAATACATGTCCACAAATAGGGAGGGGAAGGAGTTGCACATTGCCTAAAAGGCAGTTGGCTTGAACATTAGACTAAGTTGCACATATTGCTTCCAGGGGGTGAGGGTAGGGTGTGACAACAGTGAAAAACTACGCATCCACGAATAGGGAGGAGGGTTGCACAATGACTACTAGGTAGTTGGTCGGAACAGTAGACTAATTGCACATCAAAGTTTTCATGGTTGCTAGACTACAACCTTATGGAAGTTGAATCATGCAGATCCAAAAAAATGGTTTCGGAAAAAGTTGCACAATGTAGTATTAAAGTTGCACAATACAGTAACCTGGAACCTGGAAGATCGGCCCAAGCTATTGTTACCTTGACCAAAAACTTCTTGAGGGCAAGGAAGAATGGGGCAGGCAGGATACAGAAACATGGATGGACGAGACCAACAGAGGGATTTGTTAGCCTCAATATCGATGCCTCCTTTGATGCTGATAGTGGCACCGGCGGGACCAGGGCCATCATACGAGATTCCACAGGCTCCTTCGTTGCGGCATCCACAAGCAACATTCCGTTTGTCCAAGACGCAGCGACGGCCGAGGCTAGAGGCCTCAAGGATGGGCTGGTTCTGGCAAACACCATTGGCTGCAACAAGGTGGAAATCGGGGCCGATTGTATGGAGGTCATCCAGATAATGCATGACGGCGGAAACTCCTTAGGACCAGCTGCAGCCATCTATGAGGAGTGTATTTTCTTGTGTCGTAATTTTATCTCTGTTAGTTTCTGTCATTGCCCTAGGAAAGCCAATATGGCGGCTGATCTTTTGGCTACTAAGTCGGAGCCCTCGCGAACTATTATGTGGCAGAACGAGGCTCCGGACTTTCTGCTCGATGTAATCACAAACGATGTAGCCCTATTCTCACATGAAATATAAACTGCCATGATGGCATTTCCCTCAAAAAAGTTGCACAATACAATACTAAAGTTGCATCATATAGTACGAAAGTTGGCATCGAAAAAAATTCGTCGAAACATTCCCATGCAGGATCTGAATTCCGACACATGGTTTGAAAGATATGGCTTTTTAAAAATTTGAAAACCCGAAACAAATACACATGGATCTGTTTTGTCCTTCACATGTTATAAGTCTAACCGCATTTAATGCCAGTAATCACATGCACTACCAGACAAACGCATGTATGCATGCATGCGAGTGACCGAGCGGCCGCTCGTCCTCTCCAACGCGCGCGCACGCACTTTTTAGATTTCAGGAAGGGAAAAACATCCTTTACATATAGTATAGTTTGGTTTATAGAAGATCCGACCTGACATGTACACCCACATATGGTTTACTTCTGAAGAACAAAAAACATGTGACCTGATAGTAATATTCCCTAGTAAAATGCAACGAATGCCATGCCATGGAGTAGAATTTACAGTCGAGCGGAGGCGTCGATCAGAAGAGGAAGAGCGGCAGCAGGAGCAGCAGCACGCAGAGCGCCCGGCGAGCGCCGGCCATGACGCTGTCCGCGTCGTCCCCCAGAGGGGTCAAGGAGCTGGTGGGCCCCCCTCCGAAGCCCGGCGTGAAGGTCGACGGCGGGAAGAGGCTGGTAGGGGCGCTCGCCGCCGGCGTCGTGCCGTTGGAGCCTCCCGCCATGGAGCTGCACGTGAACGTTTACACATGTCAGTTGTGAACTTCGTCAGAGGACGATACAGTGGCGCGCCATGCATGCACATCGAAGATACTCGCTCACCTTCCGGTGAAGACGCACTGCCCCGAGCCTGCAAACGAGGAACCACAGGAGTATCAGAGCCCGCCGGGAACAAGAAGGAGAACAACGTGTGGGTGGGAGGGGAGGGAGGAGCAGGGTGGTGCTTACTGGGGTCGTCGGAGGTGGTGACGGCGGTGCCGCTGAAGTTGCAGCTGGCGCCGGAGGCGGCGTTGCGCTGGAAGTAGTCGTTGTAGGCGTAGGAGGCGAGCCCCGGCAGGTCGTTGGCCTTGTAGCACTTGCCGCCGGGCTGGATGGGGCCGCAGTCGGCGTGGCCGGGGCCGCACGCGTAGTTGAGCCCAGTCTGCAGCGCGGTTGGGTCCGCGCCCTGCTTCGCCACGCAGAACTGCCCCGTCGCCAGCGACCGCCTCCTGCTCTCCTCAGCAGCTTCTTGTTCTTCAGAGAAGGTGCCTGCAAATCACAATGCAGTGACAAACATATGAAAATTGTTTAAGTTTCAGTTTATTAGCCGGCTGAAAAAATCTGATTATGTGTCAAATTGGTGCATGGATGCTGAAATATTTCGTTCACCGGTTAGGCACAAAGATATTTTTCAGCTTTACAGTCTCCGTGCAAAAATGCGGTTCTATACTACACGAAAATGCAGTATGGCCGTTTTCACAAGGGGTCAAGACCTGAAAATGATCGCGGAGCAACCGCGAGCCAGAATGTGTTTGTTCGCAGAATATATAAAAGTTGTCCAGGACATCTACCCTACAGTCTACACTCTATGGCGATGCATTTCAAGGCCACACTAGGAAGGAATCTGAATAATGGAAAGTAGAAAGCGAGCGACTACCGAACCAACCGAAAGCAAACGCTGCGCAATACGCATGTACCTGACGCGTTGGCGAGAATGAGAAACACGAGCAGAAGAACGCTGCTGCACCCCTGCAGTCTTCTGGTCAACATCCTCCCAGCAGTGTCCTCCGAGCGCCCGATCGACTTGTATGATCCTCCTCCACGAACACCTGTCAGAATTCAGAGATGTACGTATCATTATGTCAGATACGTGTCAGTAGTTCAGTATTGTACTACCGAACTGCGTATTCTCGACATAATTAGGCAGAAGTTTCAGCAAGAGGCGTGTGGAGGAGAAGGGGAGAGATAGCGAGGCGCGTCGCGGTCGGTCAGACGCAATGTTTCTGATAATCTGACACATTAATCGCTGTCCAATCGCAAGGGTTTGTCGGCACAATTGACAAAGAGAAAGGTATTGTCGGCACGAACTTAATTTGTGTTGTACTGGAGTAGTATATATGTTTGAAGACATGGAGTGAAAACTTCCGATGTAGTAACTGCGAGATACGTTTGCTGCTAAATGGTAATCGATCGACGCCAAAAATAGGGCTGGGGATGATTGGTGAACCTGAAACATCCAGCTACAGGATACTCGAATCATTATTTTTAGGACGAAGTGGTCGAATTATTCATTGAATATCCAGCCGAAGTCGTTAACTTTATGTGTGACGACTTGGATTGGATATCCTTCCAAAGTCCTTAAACTTTGTGTATGGTGAAGACTAGGATGACGGCATGGGGGCAACCATCCACCAACCGCTATCCTTGGCAAGAGCACAAACATGATTGAACTTGCTGCAATTCAAAACCTTACATAATGAAAAAGATGATCGGTTTCTTTCATTCATTCAAAGTATTAAGGAATCAAACGGTGGCAGACAAGGAGGAGTTAAAATTCGTTTAGCTGTGGACCGGAACCTGAAGGGGGGAAACAGAGAAAAACCAACAAGTGCCATGAAGCCTGAACCTGAATACTACTACTAAGCTGGATCATGTCGTCGAGAACACTCTACTGATACTTTTGGGGGAAATCGGCAACGGCCATCAAAGCAAATCAGCAGAGGGGGGCCGAGAAGTCGATGAGGGATTCCAATCGGAGAAAGGAAGGCACTGACGGCACGCGCCCTAGAGGTATCAGCAGCAGCAAACAAGAGAGAAATCCTTTTCTCTCTCGAGGGCGGAGCAGGGAAACCTAATCCGAAGAACAGCAGCAAGAGAGCATCTACAAGAAGAAGGGGAAATCGTGGAGAAGCGTACCTTGATCGGCCACCGAATCGCCGGTTTAGTGGCAAGAAGGATGAATTGCTGCTCCTCGCTCTTCCTTCCTGGGGGATAACGGAAGCTCTGGACCCTCCAGAGTCTGAACTCTCAAGGACGCAAGCACGGCCTAAAAAGGAAAAGCTGTTTGCATGTACGACGGCCCTGCCCTGGACTGGACTGCCTCTTTTTTATATTTGGTACTACTAGTAGATAGAGTGCAAAGGATTTATGGAGAGGAGTAATTGGGATGGATTTATCTCGCTCCAATCAACCGGATATTACGGGACGAAATCGGTGTTTATACCGCAGCGAGGGGCAGCGGATATGAGGAAGGTAAATAGCATTACTAAAAGAACTCTCAAACCTTCGAACCCTCGCTAGCGTTTTAAGGGTCAAAAATAATTTTTTTGCACTTCTACATGTTAAAAAATAGGGGCAAAGTTAGAACCCTCAAACCCAACCCTTATAACGGAATATTCCCCATGAACGACGTTGTCGTTGCGCGCGGGAGGTGACTAGCAGCGGCGGGGCGGCCGCCGGCGACGGGGGCGACTAGCAGCGGCGGGCGCGGGAGTTGGGAGGATTTTTCCCTTCCGCGCGAGTATAACTGCCAAATGAGGGTTGGGCTAGATTTTGCTCCCCAATCCTTAATTTTGAGAATTGTGAGAGGGTTTGAGGGTTGGACCTTTAAATTTTTTTAAGGATTTAAGGGTTAAGGGATTCTAGTCTACAATTTTTTTTCGACGAAAACTGTAAAAAATTAGTTATTTTTAAGGATTTGAGGGTTTTAAAGGCTCTATTAGTAATGCTATAAGGGAGGGCGAGGAGGAGCTGCTGGTGTAACGGCTGAGAGCGCACTCACCGTCGTCTTGCACGGAAGCTCGAGGAAAAGAATATGAGTAGGCCGGCTTTCTTTTCTGGCTTTGGTTTGTGGTGCCTGATCGTATCGTGACGTGTATGTGCGCGTGTCCTTTACGCACCTCCTCAAGTGCACCCACGCTACATGCAGCAGTGGCCTACAAGCCACACTGCGCTGCGAAATACTCGGTGCTTCCCTCTGTTCCTGCAAGAAAAACGCACGCTCGACTCTTTTTTTTCTTAAGAAAATTATCAATCTATTCGTCATCGGTCCAACGAATGTCAGAAATAATATTACGTGCGGATTCATAAACCACCTAGCAACAACTACAAGCACTGAAGCGAGCAAAGGCGCGCCATCATCGTCGCCTCTCTCTCCCTGAAGCCGGACAAAACCTGTTTTTACCGCCGTTGAAGAGAAAGTTTAGAATAGGAGGATCCAACTTGTACACACGAACAAAGACCGGATCCACGGAAGACAAACGTCGATCAAATCTTGTGAGATCCGTTGGAGACAAATCTCCACACGCCCTTCGATGACGCTAGACGCATCACCGAGACGGGTGCTAGGTGGGGAGAATCTTATTCTATCCTTGAAGAGCCGCCGCCGTCTCATCTCTCTGAGCAGGACACAAACAGCCGCCGCCATCTCATCTCTTTGAGCAGGACATAAACATTAGAAAAACTCAAAAAAAAATCTAAAAACAAAGCCCTCCCGCGTGTGAGATTCTTTTTGAAGGGAGCAGAAAGAATTCAATAAAAAGTATATTTAGGCGTGCATGCACTTTTCAGTGGTCCGATGTCTCTGCCCAATATTCGCAAAAAGGAAAAGAGAATGAAAAAGGAGCAATGGCTTTGCCGGGATGAACTACTCTGCTCCCTTGAAAGGAAATTTCAGCAGGAAAAGTTCCCATGATATGATATGCAAAGCTATGCGCAATCTGGGCATGACTGCATATTAAAAAAAATACTCCTACTTGACATGCATAATTAAACTATTTATTATGTGTTTTTCCTTGAAAAAACATTTCTTTTTTATGAAACGTGGGTGAAGATTTTCGTGCTGCCATGCTCGCCTCGCCTCTTGCATCTTCTGATTTATTTATCTCTCGTGCTACGGCGTTCGTGGGTGGAGATAATAGTACGAAAAGTAGGCAGAGCTTTTCGCTCTACAAAGTTCGTCACGCCTGTTGCATCCTGTCAATTATCTCTGGTACTGTTCAGAGTGTCAATGGAGTGTTTGTTCGACATGTGGAGGGAAGATAGTGGCATGTGTCGTTGGTACTACCACATCGACCACGAACGGCGTCCCGATAGAGTGCGGCATTCTGTGGACTGTCGCGGGGATCAGAGTGGGCACGCGCCATTCTGGAGCTTTCCATCTCCATCGCTTGGATCGCCACAGGATGTAGTGTTCCTAACCTACCTCAGTTTATTTAGGCTAACTCCAACGCGGCCACGCATTTGGTTCGCTTGTGTCTGTTCGGGTTCACGCGGCCAAAAATCACGGCCAAACGCGTCGACTCAAACGTAAATATTGTTTGTCTTGACATATTCTTGTCTTAATTTTGTACCAGATTTGAGTCCATACGAACACGAGATGGACACGTGCACGACTGCTCGGTGTCCACCCTGGATCCGGACAACAACCTTCACTGGTCCTTTTAAATTCAACGCGTGCGCTCGGGCACACACATCAACCACAGAAAAGCAGTCCATGCTCGTCCTTTTGAATTGCAAGCGTGCTGTTGGGGTCGGCTCATCCACTTTCATCTCCAGTCCACTCCTTCCTCTTGCCCCTGGCAGGCCGACACCAACCCTAGCCGCCGCCACCATTGATTTCTTCAAGTGTGGCAAGCACGACACGAGGCCGCCTCATCGTCAACGCACCACCCGGCCAATTCACAATGGTGCCGCAGCCGCGGCTGGTACGCTAGCGCATGTACATCCCCGTCCGTCGGTGCCACTACCTTTGGGAGCATCATGTGCCGAAGTTGTGGCTAGACGTGAACCTCCCGCACGGCTGGCACCTCAACCCCGACAGGGTTCAAGTGTCAATAGTGTCGTAGTCTGACCGCGCACGGGCGGCGGAGATCGCCATGCTGGCCTCACACCCTAGCTCCGCCACCACCCACACTACCCGGCGGACTCGCCGAACTGGGACGCATGATTCGCCATCGAGCACGACATGCGCCGCTGGGGGAGCTCCGAAGTGTAAATTGATTTTGTAAAACAATAGGGCCAGAGCATGTGCTGCTGCATAAGACACATAGGGCCATGTGTAATTTGATTTTGTAAAGCAATAGTCATTTCGTTTCAAATTAATTGACGCTCTAGTTTTATACTGAGTTATTTTCTTAATTTTCATCAAACCGATAGGGAGATATATCAATAGTTAAAACATCAAATTGATTTTGTTATATTCATTACGAAATAGATTTGATGTTTTTTTCCAAGTAAAATAGACTCAATGTTCTAGGTATTAACACATTTTCCTGTGGACTTGGTCAAATATAAAAACGTTTGACCTATAACAAAGCTAGAACTTCGAAATGGAGGGAGTACTTTCTAGTTGCAAATGAAAAATACAAAGCAATCTAGATCTAGATATGTCAATGTATATATCTTTCATAGCGAACCAACCTGTGGTTGAGATGGTTAGGTGGACAGTGGTATCCTCAACCCACCAGGGGTTCAAATCCTGGTGCTCGCATTATTCCTGGATTTATTTCAGGACTTCCGGCGATGCGCTTTCAGTGGGAGGAGACGTTCCCGTCGACGACGAGGCGCCTACGGTGACTTCGTAAATCTCAAGATGATATGCCAGCTCAGTCTCTCGGAGGTGCTCATAGGGATAGGATATGCCGGCTCAGTCTCTCGGAGGTGTTCATAGGGGTAGGGTGTGCGTGTGTGCGTTCATAGGGATGAGTGTATGCGCGTGTATATGAGCGTTTGTGTCTGTACTGATGCTCAAAAAATTTTGTAAAAAAGCA